GGGTTATGCTGGTGCTGGTGCTCTTGCAGCTGTTCACTGCTGATCAGCCAGAAAATTAGTAATTTTTTTTTCTTTTCGGGTTATTTTCAGCAGGTAATTTTTTTTTTTTTTTTTTTTTGATCCAACTCACCTCACAGCTACACAACTGCTAATGCCAGCCTTTGGGAGGTGGCGGAAATATCTGACCAAGGCCAGACAGGAGCATGGAGTTGCCCCTTTCAGATGTAGCCCAGTCCTGAATTAGATTAACATAACTACAAATCCACAGCTACAGTAAAATAGGATGGCAGTTTGACTGTGGTTTGGGTTTTGTGGTTTGGGGTTTTTTCTTTTCTTTTTTTTTTTTTTTTTTTCCCTCCCCTCTGTTTTGTAAGGCCGCTTGAGTACTCTGAATGAAATATTTTAGGTAAGTAGCAATTACTGTTGTTAAAGTGCTTAAGAATTCAGGCATGTGGTATATGATCGTAGAGCTTTTTCTGTATTACAGCAGTTGCCCTACATGAAGCGCCATGCAGCAGCAGATGTTCAGTATTCTGCCCTGAGATACTGGTCTCTTCATGTTTAAAGTTTTTGCTGGAAATACAAAACCCAGAGAGGGTCTGTAATAAAGTCATCAAAGAGTTGGTATGTAGAGGCAGAAGAAAAACAGTAACACACTATTACGATGGGTGAAAAGTAATTAAAAACCCTATCTGGTTTTGTAAATTTATTAATTTGAATGGATAGAGGTTTCTTGTGCGTATTTTCTCTCCGTCCTTTGATGTGTAGTACTTAGAATATTTTGCCTTATAGCAACCATTTGTTGCAGAGTAATGGGACCTGTCCATACATGTCTGTTGTGTTCTGGTGTCCTGGGGTTCAGGTTTCAAGCTGTCCTCCAAAACCACTGTTCTCTAAGTGGATCTCAGCAAGCGGTGCAACTGAAGTAAACCGGAGCAGAATTAAAATAATTCACCGTATAAAACTGAGTCAGTTAAGTTTTGTGCATCCAAAATATAAACCTTCTTGAACTGGGATTTTGGTTTTTTTTTTCCCTAAAATGCTGTGTACATTATATTTCTAGGTACATGTGTCCATGAAACAAGATGGAGAGAAGATAGTATAGTGAAGTGGTGGACTTGTGGACAGAATGGCTTTCCTGGACAACCCAACAATTATACTTGCTCATATTCGGCAGTCACACGTGACCAGTGACGACACAGGGATGTGTGAAATGGTCCTGATAGATCACGATGTCGACCTGGAGAAGTTTAATCCCTCGTCAGCATATGGGGACAGTGGTTCGGAAACACAGGGAAGCAATGGTGAGACTCAGGGCTATATATATTCCCAATCAGTTGATATTACCTCAAGCTGGGACTTCGGAATCAGAAGACGATCAAACACAGGTAAGTGATGTTTGCAGCCAAGATAACATTAGCCTTTTAAATCCAGTTTCTATTAGTCTGGCTTGCATGGACAAATCGGAGCATGACTAGTTACGTATCTATCAAACTTTTCCTTTTGTAATGTCGAGACCCTTTTTACAAAAGGGTATGTAATGATTCAGTTACTCTAGTGTGCTGTCGACAGAGTTCTAATTGCTGTTTTACTTATTCACGTACAGAGGAGCATTGAGGTAGTCAGTTTTATATATAAAAAAATTTAAATTGCAAAGACATCAAGTCTACATCCAAAGTACATGAACAGTCTTTGATGTTTCTATTGTTAACGTCTGGAGGGGTGTTAACTTTTGAACAGGATAGTTATTTTCTGAGAAAAATCTACCTAGTGAGGCATCAAATCTATTTGTTACAAAAGAGAGGAATGAAGTTTGATGTGAGCCAACGAAGTGAATGATTTGTCTATATTTTGTCTTCTGAAGTTTTATTTCTGAGAAAAACGTTGAGCTAGGATTTAAGTTACCAAATCAGGAAATTTAAGGGTGTACACCTTTTCAAAATATGCACAGTTTGTCTTGACTGGAAGAAAGCTGTCCCATTTGTTGTTTCATACAAGGGATATTCAGACTTCTACGTATACCCCAGGAATGCTACAAACAAAAATTCTGTGATATAAAATATATATGAAAAGGTTGGTGCGGTGTGGGGTGGTCAATACGGATCTCTATTCTTTCTGTGTTACAGTATTTTTTTTTTTTCAAATGATTTCTGAAGGTATTATAACACCACCTAGAGCTCAGAAAAAACATCTGTGCTCTACCTAACAAGTAAAACGTTGTATGGTATTGATACCTTGAAATACCTTTTGCAAATAAGAAGTTGACGAAAGTTAAAGACAAGACAGAGCACTGGTTCTTGTGATGGGGAGTTAGATTTGGAAATAAGCTGACTATGTAGGTGCAACTGACTTTCAGGCATGGTGAAAAGTTTAGTGTGCCAGACTGCCTAGCATTGACCGTGAGGTCTTGTTTAGTTCAGTTAATGGTATAGTTTATGAGGAAGGAGAGGCAAAGTTTAGTTTTATATAATTGCTCCAAAAAATAATTCCGAAGGATTATTTCACCAAGTGAGTAGGCTGATAGAGTAATCTCTCATTAAATTATGGATTGAAACCATAATTTCAGTTTCCAATTGGTGGTATATCCTAAAGTAATGGTTCGGACGCTCAGTCCATTGGGGAGCCAGTTTTTTGCCTCTTTTCATCTGGTGTGTCTTTTCTGTTCCATCATGTGTGCTGGTACCACCAGGAACCTGATGCAATTACCAAGGCAATTAGGCTATGATTTGAAACAGGGTGGGGTGGAAAAAAGCCTACAAAGGCGGCAAGTCGATCAGTACTGAACCCTTTTCAAAAATACAGGAAGAGGAATAAGTTAAAGTTAACTATTTTTAATATAAATGCTTTTTGCATTACACAAGTACTTATCTAAGTTCTTGATGGAAGAAAACAGATACATACGTACATAGAACAACGTGTTCATGCATCTCATACATGCAAAAACTCATAGCTGTGAAATCTGCAGGTTTTGCTCCTAAAATGGGGAAACGTAAGGACATTTCTTTTTTACGTAATCCATAACTACCTGAGTAGATTTAGCAAGAGCAGGAACATTTGTTCTTTGAAAGGCAGATAATGGGGTTTAGGTTTGGAAAGAGAAGATAGTGTAATTTTGTGTATCAACAGGTGATAGTGGCGGACTTCTTTAACATGCAAGCTCTTCTTTATTCTCCTTGATTTTACACCCTGCTACATAAAATGATTTCTGCTTATGTCGTCTTTAACCATTGTTTTTGGATGAAGTATAACTTTTTTGTTATCTTTTGCAAAGCTGTTTTATTATAAAAGTACCTTACCAGGATAGTAGCTTTTTCAGAAATTGCAGATGTAATGTGCTACTGTAGAAGTTGCAGCATGCCTCTGTAGAGGCTACAGAAGTGTTTGCTATTAGGTAGCTCTCATGTGGGTATGCAAATTTGGAAATGAATTTTATGTGCGTTCTAATAGCAGAGTTATCCCTAGTCTTGAAAGAGTTGTGTGGGTGAGACCTGTTGGGGTTCTGCACACCATCTTTGGGGAGAGCACAGGGGCTCTCTGCCGCTGAATTCTTCCTCCTTCCCTACAGCAGCTAGATGGGTTGTGGGTGGGCTTTGGCTCTGGGCTCCACCTCCTCGCTGCCTTCTTTCCGCCATATCCAGAGGGGTTAAAAAAAACTGAAGGGGAGACAGGTCTGTGCTGGGTGTGTGGGAAAGCAGCAAATTCTCCCGGTCCCCATGGCTAGAAACAAAGGCTCGTCTAGTTGCTAATAGTTAATGAAACAAGAACTACATTTGGTCAGTGACATTTTTCACACAGAAAGCTTTCAAACTAACATGCTTCTTGTGGGAATGAACCTTAAATAATTCAGACTTCTAATAGGTACTGATAATTCCATCTAATTTAGAGTTGCTGTAATACAATCCCACGGTAAATGATCATTTGTGATCAACTGTAGATAGAAGAATAGGATGGAGTTAGCGAAGATGGTGACTGCGCTCTAGTATGTTTGTTTTGACAAGGGGTGAAAATATCAAACAGGATAAAAACGTGTTATTCTTATTTCTATTCTACGTTTTTTCCTTTATCCATTGTTTACATATGAATCTTACGACGGCCCATTTGGGAAGAAAGGGTATGGAAGGTAATTTTGAGCTACAGCCTGGACAGTAATTGGGGGGGGAGCGGGGGGGAAGGTTTTTCTTTCAGAATAAAATATCTGTGCTACAATAGTGGTTTACCTGATATTTAAGCCTGTAAGCAGCGCTCCATCTTCTCTTATTTCACTAAGATACATAGGGGTATGTAGGCACTAACCTCATGTTGGCTTAAGTAGGAAATAGGCATCAGAGTCCCTGTTTGCGTTTGTACCTTAAACTGCTTGTTACAGCTGTTAAACCTCAAAGTAGTATTTTTTCATCAGTTCCCAGGTTGGGAGTTTTTATGGAGGAAAAAAAAAAATTGACTTGTGTGTCCACAATTCAGTTCAAAGACCAAATGTTAAAAGAATAATAATAGGAGGGATAGAAAATATTTATTAACCTTTTTTTAATTGGTGAAATGGCTCAGGGAACTCAAATTGTATCTAAAAATTGTCAGAGTAATTTAGCATTTTAGAGTCTCTTCTGCAAACCCATTTTAGTTAATGAATGATCTCAATACATCAAAATTGCTAGTCTATCCGGCAAATTGTTTCCTTCAGTGATCAACATTATTAGTCCTACTTTCCAGTCTAACCTGCTTCCTTATTTTGAGTGGGCGCTTCACAACATCAGTTATTTCTTGTGGTCATTGTCTTGGGTAGCTTCTGCCAGGTTTAGCTGACCATTTCCTGAGAGAGATCTTACTGCTAACAAAGAGATAATTTAAGGTATTAATCTGGGACCCTGGCCTGTCAGTTCTTTGATATCATAACTATTTGAGGCTTTTTTCAAACCGTATTTTGAAGATGGAGTCAAAATATACGTAAAGAAATATTATATTCATTTTAGGATTTGACTAATGTTGTGAAGATACAAATCATTTATTTTACTACCTATAAACTGTTTCAGCACACTGAAGAAAAAGCTATGCTAATTTATATAGCTTTGACATTTTATAATTTTCATGATTTTTAGATAAAGGATTTTATATTTAAAACTTTAATAGTCTAGTCTGAGTTCATTTATCTTTAATTTTTGAAACGGGTAGAGTAATTCATAACAGTAATTTTATTCCTGTAATGTAATATTCACTTCAGTTCATTTGTGCATTAAAATTCCTTTAAGACCGTTATTAATGATTTATATAATGAAATGTCATATTAATCACAGAAGTTTTCACATTTTATTATTCTCTTCCATGTTAATACTATCTTTATGATCTCTATTAATGTTTTATATCCTCTAATTTCAATTATAAATCAAGAACATTTTCATGTTTTTGTTGGTATTTGCTTTTCAGGGGTGCCACCTTTAAAATTTTATGACTTTTTCCCCTACATATGCAGTATAAAACATCTTTATTCATATAAAGGTAGTTAATTATGTCTTTGTTTATAGTAAACTTTCATTGACAAACTTATAGTTATAATATTTCTTTTCAAGCTCAGAGACTAGAACGTCTGCGGAAAGAGAGACAAAATCAAATAAAATGCAAAAATGTTCAGTGGAAAGACAGAAATACTTCTTACTCAGGTAAAAAGAAAAGATCTTCTATTTTTCTACTGTTTTTATTTCTGCTTTTGATGGTTACAACATTTTCCGTTTGTAATTTTCATTTAAGCATAGAGGAACTACTAATTACTATGTTTGCCTTCCGTCCCCAGTTATGTGTTTCCCACAGTTTATGGCTGGGGGGAGCGGTGTGCCACAGGCGTCTCGTTTGTTTTCGGCTCTGACTAGGGCATTCCGCATTATTAATTAAAGGCAAAGTAAAGAAAAAAACGTGTAAAACCTAGTTTGTTGGTCTGAACGCATTCGAGTGGCTGCTTTATATTTTGTATATAGGGTATTAATGCAGTGTTGGTGTATTCTGTCACCCGGTAGCATCATTACCTTCTAAGGCTTCTGTTGTCTCGGGGAGCAGGGGACGGAGATCGTGACGCTCCTGGCGCTGTTGCGAGGTGCGTAAGGACCAGGGCACGGCTTTGCTCCGCGGGTAGGGGATTGGCAGGCGCCTGCCTTCGAAATGCAGGCTCACTATCTCCATGGGAGTTATGGCTTTCTGGCTATCTCCAGTGGCATTTGGTGTGCCGGATGTGATGAAGAATTTTGTGGAGGTTACTTTTATAGAGTATTTTTGTGGCTACTTTTCCAGATGAGGGGAAAATCTTAAGAAATAACGTGCATAGTTAGGTTAATGGTTGGACTGGATGATCTTAAAGGTCTTTTCCAACCTAAATGATTCTATGATTCTATATATGCTCTACTTAAGGCAGCATTTATTATGCTTTCATTTAACTTATCTAGCCTTCCCTTGGAAAAACTGGTAGTGCTGATTTCTCAAAAGATACGCTATTCTTTTTTTTTTTTTTAAATTACATAATTAAGTATTTCTGACTGGATGTTCTACATAGTTTAAATTGTAATATATGAAATGAAAAATCTGTCTCAATTCTCTCATTTTATAGCTCAAGCGAGTATCTACTCCTGTTGTATTTGACGCACATTCAAACCTTTGTATGGTCTGTCATGCCTGCTTCTTTCAAAATTTGTGTATATCTTAATGAGGTCCCTGTGTAATCTCCTTGATTTGCCTAAATCCTTGTATCTTCCTGGCTGTCATTTGCAGAACCTTTTCCAGCTCTATAATGTCTTTTTTCAGAGGAGTGAACAAAGCTGCTCACATGAGCAACACGGTTGCACTAATCCTTAGTACAGTGTTCAGCTATGTTTGATACCGCTATTAATGCATTCTAAAATGTTTTTGCCTTTCTACTTCTGTAAGCAGAGTTGCAGGTTTTAAAGTTTAATCTACCATAACCTCCAACTCTCTTTGCTCAATATTTTATAGCATTTGACCAATGATGATGCAATTCGCTTTTTCTCCTTTATCCCTGCTATATGCTGCTTGATATTTCTTTGCACTGAATTGCACTCAGGCTCCGGCTTCCTGCTGGGTCTATGCTGTTTGTCGTTTTTTATTCATGTGGGCTCCACCATGACATTTAGTTCCTTCTACGTGCTGCCCCGAAGATAGACATAATCTGTCAACCAGCAGTAGTGGAGGTGTCCCCCCCTGCAAGAATGCGCTGGGGTTGCAGTCAAATAGATCAGTCCCTCCCTGCTGCAGAACAAATTTAAATAAAAAAATAAGTTACATAAAAACTCCAGGCGCTTGGTATCTCTTTATTGGCAGAGCTGACTTTCCTCCTCTGCTTAGTCACTGAGCTTCTGCACGTTTCTCACTTATTTGCATGAAGAACACCACGGTAGGAAGAGGCGAGGAAAAAGAGGAGCCCTTAAAGGGTATCGGCTGTGTCTTCCTCTGTCGCGTGTGCGCGTATCAGACTTGCTCTGTTCCGTGAGGTTAGTGTTACTGGGAAATAGGTATAAAAGCAGTAACAACAGAAATAGCTGTTCTCAGGTGGGGGGAATTTGGCTGCCGCCTTCTGGCTGCGTTTATCCGAGCTTTAGACAAAGTTGAGCCTGTGGTTGACCCTGTGCAAACTAAAAGGGTGCTGCAAAGCTGTTTTGTTAAGAGCCTGACGACACCACCTCCAGAGATCACTCGTCGGAGGGATGCCTTGCTAGACAGAAACTCCTGGAAGCGTTTCCGCTGTCCTGCGGGTGGATATGTACTCGTAATTTGAGGCATCTGGCAATTGAGTATTTTTTGCGATTCCCATTTTTAATTACTATGTACGGAAATAGAAGTACACTAACCAGGATAAACGGAAGTGAGAGACGAGTAATTTTGTGTATGGCAATGAGGAAAAAAAAAGAAGAATATTTTCCCCTCGTCATCTGTTTGCCCACTGTCATGAGACAAGCTCTTTGCATTGTCAGGAATGAGTTTGAAAGATAAGGTGGTAGTAGGTATGGACTTGAAAAAGAAAATCCCTGCGCATTTGGAGTTGGTCCGGGGATTAACAAATCCAAAGATGCTTCAGGGGTAGTTGACTGACTGGAAGTGTAACACACTGGAGGCCTGGGGTTTTTTGTTCTGCTGTGCCACCAATTCACGTCACCTTTCGGTGCATCAGTTCTTTTTCAGTAAAATGAAAAGAACACTTCAGCTTCGTGCAGTGTAGAGATCAAAGTATGTTAGTAAAGCAGTCTGTGGGTCCTAGAAACCAAATATGGACATACATACAAAAGGTTACTCTTTTATAGCAGGCAAAAGCAAGAAATAAAGCATTCATTTACATCTTACGTTTGTTCATTTCAGAGCATATAAAAATAAATTAACAATATATCAAGGGAATCTTTCAAAAGCCTCGCATTCAGCCCACATAGAATAGCTCGTACAGCTAATAAAATGACAAAAGGTGAAAAATACATATAATATAGACTAACAGCAAAACTTAGTTTTAACTAAGAATTTTAAATTATGCAATTAAAGCTAATTTAATGTAAAAGATGAGATTCCCCCCCCCCAAAAAACCCCCCAAATTTGAGAATTTTGAATTTTTTTTCACTGTTTTTAATTGGAATTCTCATCAGGCCATGTCTATCAGGAAGTATTTGACAAAATGCTCAACGGAAGATCTGTATTCTAGCTTTTTGTACAAGTCTTTAGAAGGTTTTGGGTTCCTCTTCCTAAATGAGTTGATTTTTTTGAAATGATGACGTTTTCGGGAAAAGGAAAACTGTATCTCAGCCAGCTGAATTTACAATCTTACAGAATGTACTATTATTTAACTCTTCAGTCATGTGAGAGATTTGACTTGAGTAAAAGCTGTACAAAACTCAAAGCAAAACAGATGTCACACTAATGAATGCAGAAGAATTCTTGAGATCCTCTTTTTGCACATCCCAACAAAGGAAACGATAAACAAATCATTTTAACATTTCCCTAGAGACAAAACTTGAAGATAAAAGACTTGCTTTTTTCACTTGAACCAATAAAACCATTGTATTGAATTCCAAGGTACAGAGTACTTTCCAAATGGCCAAGAAATACCAGTCAAGGGTAATACTCTGGCATAATTGTAATTGAGATTTTTTTTTTTTTTTTTTTTAAATCAGAGATAAGCTTGTTACAAAAAACAGAATACCTAATGGAGTTTAAGTTGCTACATTTAAAAAGGATTTAATCAAGCTTTGCTGGTTAATCGCAGCCTCTCACAAGACTGTTGGGTATCTCTTAGTGCCAGTATTTAGCACTTTTGCCAACTGTCTGAATTTTCAGGCAATCTGCTGATAAAAATAAACTGAGCTTTTGACTAGTTATAATTTGACAAGTTTTAATTTTGCATTTTAAGAAATTATCCAACTGCCTGCAGATCAAGGCCCAAGTCATTCTGCCTTAGGAGCAGTTTCATTGCCCTGGAGAAGCAACATGAAAATCTTTGAGATGCGGGAGAACCCAAACGTAGCAATGCAGAGCAGAGTCAGGCTAGGAGAGCCGGTGTTGGTTCTCGGGTAGTGATTGATGGAGTTTGGGGGTGCTTGCTTCCTAGAGCAGATGCGGAAAAAACTTGCCCAGATTCAGTCACAGTTTCTTGCAGATGAGACCCATTGGTACTAATATGCTAAAACACCCCAGGCTCTGTCCTGATTTTTGTAGTGTTCTTAACATAAGAAGCCCTAGTTTTTAATTTTTTTTTTTTTTTTTAAGGTATGCCTGTAAATTTTGAGTTAAACTGTTGCTGGAAATTCAGCTATGCAGTCTCTTCACATAAAAAGAGCTGCTTGTCAGAGGCTTTTATGAGCCTTCACAGACCACACAAAGAACTCGCTAACTCTTATCACCTTTGTTTTTAGAAAGCTTTTTTTTTTATTGTCCAGACTGTTTATCTGGAATGGTGTTTTCAAGTTTGACATTTTTTTGAGTGGAGACCATATCCAGTCTACCACAAGAAGTAAAATCTGAAGAAATTATTCTTTTGGACCAGATGTAGTCCCAAGCCTACCACTGACAGCATAGCAACATTATAATATAGTAATGAGGTAGTATAATATCGTCCTGTAATATAGCATAATACCATGTGTTACAAGCTCAGTTTGAAATGCTTTTGCATGGCGTATTGTAGATGTGTCAACAGTTCTTTTGCATAGCATTTACTGTTCATTTAGAAAAAGGTGGGCAAGCAGAAAGACCAGGAATGCGTAATTCTCTCTTTGAATCTTGATTTTTATCTTGACTCAAGTGCACCTTGTAGTGATCAGTTTTATTCTCTGTATGGAAAAAATTAATCTTTTCATCAGCCTAAACAGTAGCATCATTCAAACGTCTTACGGTTTCATGTCTTTGGGCTATGAAAGAGTGGTGGTAGATTGTGCCCTGCTAAAGCATTTGTTGTTTTATAGATTTGATTTTGTTCTCCCTCTTATAATGTTTCTTTCTGTGGTAAACAGTTGCCTCTCTACATCTCCTAGTACAACTGCTCTAATCTCTTTTCTGATCTACAGCAGAGGAGCTGAGCTCGCTGTTTGAAAAAAAGAATTTCAGAGTAAAATCTCCATGTTCTGGGAAGCAGTCAATACTGTCTGTGCGACTTGAACAGTGTCCGCTGCAGCTGAATAACCCCTTCAATGAGTACTCAAAATTTGACGGCAAGGTAAGTGGACCAGATGTTTTTCTCTCGTATCCAGGTGGTCCGTGACCTGAAGATTGCAGGCCTTAGGCAGTTCTCGTGTGCATTTACTTGTTCAAGCTTTAATTAGGCTTTATAGTAGGCCATCAGTTATTTTAAAGTGGTTATCTAGAAGCATGCTTCTCTTAGTCTTAAGTATTCCAGGTTTCAGATTTGGTAGAACCATTTCTCCCGTTTTCATTACAAAACTATGCCTTACCGTTAGGTGTACCTTACCTTGCTGTTTTCTTCTCCAGCAGGTTAGGTAGGTAAGCATTTAACGTGGCAGAGTCCTAGGACGTCTCTCTACAGAGTTGATGGTGAGACCCTTTGGATAAACGATTCATTATTTGGCATTTTAAAAAAGCGTATTCTGTCTAACCACGTGACAGCACTCGCTGAATATTCCATGATTTATGCTGTCTTTATCCTCACAATGCTCCAGTGAGAGTAGGAAAAGCCACTGTCTGTTTTGAGGGTGGAAAACTGAAGCATCAATAGGTCGCTATCTGGGGGCAAAAGGAGGACTAAACAACGTAGTTGTGCGCAAATACTCATTTATGTAATGCACGGAGGAGGTTCACTCAAACCTGGTAGGTCAGATTCTTTCCTTGACTACACTCACGTCAAGAGCTTGCATTTGATATTGCTCAGAATTATGGGTATTACTCAGAATTGTGGCTAACTGTCTTTCCTTGTGTGCACTTTAGTTACTCTGTATTGTCAAATACTTTTCTCTGTCATAAACTCTAGAAACTGAAATACAAACATTGGTGTGATGGATCAGTGTCATATTGTTCCAAAACAATTATAAATACTGCACAGATCTGTTTTCTGCTGGATTTGTTTGTGGAGTCTCCTGTGGGAGTATGAAGTTTGAGCTTCATTACCGTTGTGATGGAAGAATTTCATATTCTGTTAAGTATTCTTAAAGTGGAAAGTCAGATATGTAATTCCACTAGCATACTAGAAGCATTTAGAATATTTGTGAAATGGTAACTTTTAAACTATGAAGTCCACAGAGCAAAAGCTGTCTCTGTTGTTATCTTACACTTAACTAGTATGTAGTAATTAGCGCTAACTCAGTTTTTCAAGATTTCTGGCCTCAGTAATAAATGATAGCAGTACTTCAATGCTGACAACACTGAGATGCCTTTTTTCTAAACTCAAAGCTTGCTGTTCCTATGTCATGAAATTTCAGTTTGGCAGACATTTAAATGTACTTCCAACAGTCATGCACAGAGGAGGTACAAATAAAACAAGTAATTCTTTATTAACAGAAATTTATGGTAATTCAGTGGTGTCCCAGTCTTGTTGCTTTAATACTTGAGCATGATTTGGGCTCCCTGCTAGAACGTTTCTCAGAAACTTGAGGAACTTAAGCACGTTTCCTTCCCACTTCGATAATCCAAACTGTTTTTTACTGTATTAGTAGGAATTATAGTTGACTGTAATGAACATCCTAATTTTCATATTTAAAAGTCTGATGCATTTAGCAGGTGTTTGGTCCATTTGAAGGAAATTGTACTATACATAATAATTTGAGATATTAATGAAATACCTCAGTGTTGATTTGTAGGGTATGACATGAATCAACTTGTTTGTGATCTAGAAATCAAAATACCTTTCTAATTCTCAAAAATAACCCAATTGGCATTTTGTTAGAATATCATCTGACTATATTAATTTTAACAACATTGTTTATATTACTCTGGTAAGTTTGTCAATAGCATGCTTATAAAATTTATTTTCTATACTTCTGTATGTATTGTCTATTTTTTAAATACCCACTTGACCATCTGAGATATACAAGAAACATTATAGTTCAGTAGTTGAATTATTTTACTTACTTTCAGTTTTGTTGTATTTTCAGACCGTGATGTAAAATCAAAAACCATCTAGCAAAATTATTTTTAATGAAATATCGTAGGTCTCGTATTTATTTTTATTGATAATAAATGAGCAGTATTTTTCACAGAAATACAATTCTTTCAGGGAATAGTGCATGACTTATTTACATAATTAACAGAGCCACGTATCTCTTGGGGAAATGCTACATAATTGGGGAGAGGCAGGGGGGATGAGGAGGGGCTAGGGGCCTAATTAAACATGTCTTAAAAAAACCCCTACTTAATTATGTATTTACTCAAGGGATCACAGCAGCTCTGAAATCTTTAAGATTATAACTAGGCCTTTGGTTTATATATATATGTGAGTTTTGCAACGCAGATTTTCATCTTGTTGAATAACACACGTTTTGTGGTTCTGGCAAAGCGTGAGGAAAGGTTTACTTGCTGTGTTGAAGCTCTTTGTTCGTGTGTGTACTCAACTGCTTTCTGGATGGTTTTAACTTACCGCTAATTCAGCTCCCTGACCTGAAATCAAATAAAACCATTCTCTTCTGGGTCCTTCCTGCCCCCTCCCTCCATTGGTTTAAAACAATGCATCAAATCAGTTAAAAATAAGAAAACATTGCATGCCGTAATATCAGCCAAGCAAATTTATTTAAATGCTTACATCTTGCAGGTGTTCTCTGCCAGATTTAGTGTCTTTTTCATAACCACTTCTGCAATTTTATGAAATAATAAAATTTTAAAGCACTCCAATTTCTTCTTGTTTCGATCAGTTCATTAATTATCAAAATAGTAGAGAATATGGCTTGTGAAATGCAACTACAATGGAAGCATTCTAATCAGCTCAGGAATTCAGGTCATTCTTGCCCCACAGCTACACAGGACAGACCTGTGGCTTTCACGTACATTGTAAAACTTCAGCTCTTAACTAAAGACACGCACGCAATAACTACTCTCGGCTGTATCTTCAAGTTTTTCCTTAAAATAGTTAAAGTAAGCCTAACCCTGCATCTGTTTGCACGGTTTGTAAAACACGTGGGTTGTACATCTTGGGTCATAAATCTTGAAAACTCTTGTTAAGAGTATTGTGTGAAAAGAAGCCTTTAGTTATTTATAATTGTTACTTCAGTTGTCATTTGCGTAGAAAATTACTTGAAGGCTTAAGAAATCAGTGGCCAAATTGATTTCCTTTATCTCCATGCAGATTAAATTATCATCCATTTTATAGATAACTGCAGGTATATTTCTGTTTACAGAATTTGAAAAATCAAATTTTGATGGCTTAGTGTTCCAACTTGCCAGCTGTTGATAAGCTTGGGAAAATAAGACTGACCGTAAGACAGATTTGAAAGCCATAGCCAGGGAGCACAAATGAAACATGAGAGTGTTGTAGCGGCTCATTTCAGCGGCAGAACTGTGAGATTCACAAGGTTCACTTTACCTACACATTACCTGCCTGCTTTCATTAATTGTTTTCAAAGCATGTGTTATCTTTTCATTCTATAGAAATTCAGAATATTTCTTTTCAAATCACGAGTGTAACTTGCATGAGTTGCTGGAAAGCATGGCAATGAGTTTTCTCTGAGATATTAATCTTAAAGGGTACTGATTTAGTACAGTATTAGTGTCAAAGCTATTCGACTGCATGACCATTCCCACTAGTAAGAAAAATGTTACCAAATGTATTTAGTTACTGGCATAGAGGAAAATCACGCTAGAATCAAATGTTCAGCTTTGTAGGAACCGCATACTGAGTGAGTAACTCCTGAGGCCTCAGTTTACAGTTCCCCTTGAAATCATCTCTGGAGCCAGTCCACATCCATTTTTCTTCGAAGTCTCTGCTACCTTTAAGAAATTTTAATCACTAAAATGTCTTGTCAATTCAATTTTTGGCATGCCTGCCACCAAATGGCTCCTTCTGGGGATATCCCCAGGAGAACGTTAGCAAACGCAGAAGTGTTACAGGACAGTCAAAAAAGAGATGCTAAAGAAATGCAAAATAGTCAAAGAAGAAAGTTGGAAAACCACAATCAAAATGTCAGGAAGGGATCATTCAGCTCTAGAATAAACTTGAGTTACAAGGCCAAGAACCTTTCCTGCATGCAGACCAGAGCTTTCTCGAATATTTTTTATTTCTATTTTCAGGGCTACTAGTTGAAAATTAAGATTTAAGGAAGTCTAGCTTTTCTGACCTCATAGGGGTTTTGTGGGTTTACTTGAGTACTGGAGGTAATTTAAATAAAAATAGGTCAACATGATTTTTGGCTGGACAGATGCTAAAAATCCTATTGTATGGTTTTACAGGGTTTCTTGTGGCTAATTGTGGTAATGGGTTAAAAACCAACAATTTTTCTTGTAGCAACTGTTTTAAAAATGATGCTGTAGAAAGCATGGGGGAAGGGATAATTCATGAGTGCTAATTGCTTGGCTGTTAATTTTCATAAGTGTTGATAGAAGCAGATCCTTAAATTAAACTTTGTTTAAAATGTATCAAGGGAAATATTCCACAATGTCGGGCCTGAAGTGAAAATTAATATGAATGCTGTGGCAATTAACACGTACTGGTTAATAGCTTTTAGCAGCATTTTGGGATGATAGTCCTTAAATACATTTTTGCATGCTGCTCTTGTTTCAGTCTTGTTTGACTGTATGTCTGGATAATCATGAACAAATGTTTTCCACAATCTCCAGTATTAAATAGCTTTACTCAAAGAAAGTAGATAAAGAACTTAAGAAAGAAGCAAGACTGCTTTAATTAATATGGAAAATGTCTAAAATAATTAATCCAGGATTAAAATCTCAGTGTGAAAAAATGTGATTTTTTTTTTTTTTATTTATTTAAATGTTTTGCCCCTAAGCTGAGTAGAATGATCCTCATCTGAATCCTAAGTAAGTTTGCCTCGGTTTTTGGGTTTTTTTAAAGCATTTGCTTATTCTGCCAGTTTTAGTGGTTTGCATGCTACCTGCGCTCTACTTAAATAGTTGAAATAAAGATGTTTGTCATGTTATCGTTCATGCTGTATAGCAGATATGTTAACATACTGCAGGTCAGTATTTGTGCTGGGAAGCTCCTGCTGTGGTTGCACCAAGAGCCAGCGCCTTGACAAAGCCGAGCTGCGCTGGGGCAGCGGC